CTGCCCTGCTCCCCCCGCTCACCAGGCAGAGGGAGAGCTGCAGGCTCCACGGGGACTCAAACACAGCTGCGCTGCTCTGTGGGGGAGGAGGGAGCGGGGGGAGGGGGAGGGACTCTGGCTGCTAGAGGCCCTAGTGGCTGCGAGCGGCTTTCAATCAGGCCAGGCGTCCAATCAGCCGTGCCACACTTTGCCTGAGGGGAAGGGGGAAATCCCGGACATTTCTACTTGATTAGAAATCTCCCCCCCGGACGGCCATATAAAGCTGAAAAACCCAGACATGTCCGGGGAAACCCGGACGGATGGTAACCTTACCTTAGACTGTTCTAAGCCATACACCAATACACATGACAGACAATTTCACCTCTTCTGGAATGGACTTCCTTTCTCACAATAGCCTTTTCTGATTCACTAAGGTGAATGCAGCGTAGCCTTCCTTCAGATGAGATGGCAATGCCAGGTTCCTTCTGATCCTGTTATAGTTGGCCAAATAGGAAAGAATAGCGGTTAATTAGAGATATCCTATCTCCTAGAACTGGAAGGGACCTTGAAAGGTCATAGAGTCCAGCCCCCTGCCTTCACTAGCAGGACCAAGTACTGATTTTGCCCCAGATCCCTAAGTGGCCCCCTCAAGGATTGAACTCGGAACGATGTAAAATGCTCACAACAAAACCCAAGCCCAGGAAAGACTTGTCTGCTTTCACATTTAGTTACAAATGCAAATCATGTTTGTAGACAGAGTGACAACTTTCTTGAGTCACCCTGGGCTTATTCTCAATACCCCATTGAAACTCCCGGCGTGGCACTGTGTGGACAGGAAAGTGAGTGAAACTCTGTCTTTAGGAGGAATCACACTTTGAGTTTTTGTGTTCATTTCTGCCTGAAATGCCAAACAAGACTCAAGAAACATGAAACTTAATTAAAGGTTTGCACCAGCCCCTGGCAGCTGAAACCAGACGAGTTGCATCTAGCTATGGATTGCCCTTGCCAATGCAAATACCTCTCTCACAGAAACAGGTTTGTATTTCCCAAGATGGGTGCGAGTTATTGGCAGCGAAGACAGAATGGCTTCCACAGTTGGAGCATTACTGGTGTTTCACTTACTCTTTTGTGAAGGGTTTAGCGATACTTGGAATGAGGGACTCACTTCTGTTTCTTAACTGCAAGAAAAGCCCGGTTATTTCTGTCTCGGAGACAGACCGGCAATCTGCTGACTGCTGCACAAAACACTGGCTTCATGGCTATTTATTAATAGTTTATCTAATGTAATCGTGTCATGTGTCCAACAACCTCTATGGGCTCTATTTAAGGTCCTCAGAACAGAGCACAATGCTATTATCTTCTTAGACTCCAGTCAGCAGGGAGAAACACTGCTCTACAGCCAAAATGCTTCTGAAATAAATGTAGTCAAACTTTACTAATTCTGGGTCACTGAGAACGAAAATGATGCTTAAAATTGTTGATTGGCTCTAGTTTTCAAGATATGCTATTGGGTCAGTATATACGACCCTTGACTTGGGAATGGCGGAGGGAGGATAAGTGAGTTATAAAGGGAA